CGCCCCCCCCCCCCCCCCCCAAATGACCCAACCCCTCGCTATCATACCATGCCCTTTTTGCTTCCTCCAGTGCAACCCCATGGGCTCTGAGAGATAGTTCCTTCCCTGCTCCTTGTGTTGGTCAAGAATCAATGGATGTTAAACTCCCTTACATTCTCTCAATCCCCTGAAATTGTTCTGGACTGCTGAGGATCGAAGGGTAATCTGCTCTGATCCCCTCTCTGTATTGTGAAGTAATATTTTTCTCCCTTGATGAACACCAGAGAGTTTAAGGTGAAGCTTTCAGTTTTGCTCCGGTGGCCCCATAAAATCACTTAAATCTGTAAAGAATGGTTGCATGAAGTGGGTGGACAGTCTGGAGAGGGCTGTGATTTGGGCTGGGACAGATATGATCCTGTCCCTCAAGTTGCTGTGGCACAAAACATTGCATGTAACTGGGCACTGAGGTCACCAGGGTTCCTTTTATAGACGAGACATTTGTGGGGGTAATGCAACCACTTCTGAACCTAATTGTCTGCTGCAGACTCCTGTTTCTCTCTGCTGACTCTTTTTGATACGTAATGAAAATGCTGAACTTGGAGGTTTGGATCAATCCAAGCTTTAATCTCTCTCTCGGGTCCTTAGCAGGGAAATGGGGTTTTGGACCCTGCCATATGAGAGGGCCATGTGGGCACTAGGGATGAGGAGCTGTGGGAGCATCCTAGGGAGATGGCCGAGTGTTTCTCAGGGCAGCAAGAAGTGAGAGCTGCTGCTAGAAACTCCCTGCAGACCATCCCTTCTCTCCCAGAGTGTACATTACTCCTCTGGGCTGGCCACCTCGCAGCCGCTCTGCCTGCGCACCCGACCAGGGTCCACAGCTGTCTCCCAGGGATGCCAGCGCGTGCTTGTTCGTTAGCACAAGGTCGTGGTGAGAGGCAGCAGGGACAGTGCTGTGGGACACGAGGATTTCAAGACAGAGATGATAAGAGGTGCAGGACTTGTTTCTGCCTAATAGAGCTGGAAAGAGAGGGACTGGCTTGAGCTGCCCTGGGCGTGACACGGGGGACTTTGCTGAGCCAGAGGACCCGCCATCTGAAGCAAGCCTGCCTGTCCCCAGCGCCTGCTGACGAGAGTGTCAGACTCCATCTCATAAACACCGGAAGCCTGAAAGAGTAAAGGCAGGAAAACAAAAAGAAGTTGCATTGTTTTCTTAAGATTCTTTCTATTTGTTTCGTGTTCAGTGATTCCATACTGCTCCAAATCCCTCTTTTTGCTGCATGGGGAAAATTGCTGCTTTTTTGGTTCAGTCCACCTGCCAGTGAGCTCAGCACAGCTAATGTTGCACTGCAAACTTGCACACACAGAAGTCACAGCAGCATAACGCACGGCTTTATCCCTCCACCTCTCATTTCATGCCTGCTAGGGAGGCAAGAAAATAATCACACGCATGCTGTAGTCGCACATGGAGCAGTGCATGCTACTCCCCTCAGTCCCTGCCAAGCAAGGTCCCCACACCGTGGCAACTGTTTGCACACCAGAGCCCCTGCTTATTGATTCTTTGTATCTCTCCTTTTGCTGTTCTGTGTTCTAGTAACTGATTTGTGCATGCCTGCAGGCCAGTGCTTTTCGGAATGTCAGGCTTTGTGTGATTTCAGATATGCACAGACACTTCCCACCCTGATTTGTGTATGCTGCAGGCCATAAATTTAGAACTGCTTGGAGGTTTGGAGACAAAGAAAGGCCTTTTATGTTCTGCTGCTAGACACAGTCAGGTATAGACTGCATCCAGATTCTCCCATGCTGCTCTCCAGGTGGTGGTCAAAGGGATGTGATACCACAAGGAGGGAAGAACTGATGCGTAAATGTGATTTCCAGATAGTTCATTGCTTTCTAAAATAGAAAAAATGTAGGTTTGTTCAGTGTGGGCTCAAACCAACCTTGTTGGGTGGATGGGAAGGTTCCTGCTTGCTTCGCAGGCCATGAATACTTCTGTGGGTTTTGCTGCTTTCACTGAATTTGTTACCATAATTCTTTGAGTTGATTCTGCCAGACTTTTCATTTAGGGAAAACCTTCTTGCATCAATGGCACCAAATCAGAATTTTTAAATTCTTTAATAACATGTTTTGCTTTTCCCTTAAATTTTGATTAAAGGGCAAACAGCGTGATATTGAAAGCCAGTCAAAACCAAGGATGTTTCTCTCAGACCCGAAAGCTAAGCTGGCTTTTGTCTGCTACAGAAACAGGGGCCATGGTCCTGCGAAGTGGGTCCTAAAGGAGATCTAGCCCTGCTGATGCCAGTTTGGGTACTGCTGCTCTGCTCCCTCTGGCTTCATGACCACGAAGCAGAGCGCTGTGCAGGTGCCAGCAGAAAACAGGCTGGATCGCTGCAGTCAGTCAATAATTAAATATTCATACTCCTAGCCTTGGCCTTCTTTATGTTTATTCATTCATGAAACTTCTGACAATGTGTTCTTTGGGCATGTTTTAAAATATGCTGCCTCGTTGTAAGTTCTCAGACTGAAAAAGTGCAGGTTAGCAGAGGACTGCAAAGGAGGAACGTGAGCCAGTCTTGTTTGCTTTTGGCTTCTGTCCTTCCTGCCTCCTTTGTGATGTTTGCAGTGATGCCATACAGGAGCTGAGCTTGTTCTGCTGGTGTTCATGACTCTGCTCATCCCAGTTTCTTCCTTGTTTGTTTTTTCTGGTGGTGTATTTTGTCAGGATTTTTTTTTTTAAGCTGATTCGTCCTACACCACCCCTGCCTTGACCTTTACATCAGAAATAGCAGATTTCAGGTAGCTTTCTTTGAACATACAACTGAGTTCCCAGCACAAACGCTGGGGTAAAAAGAGCCTACTATGATCCGTGTATATCCATATACAAGAGAAGGAGAGAAAAAGAGAGACTGTAAATAGGAAGAGGTGAATGATTTTGTCATCGGTGGCAGTCATGAAGATTCCTCTTGAAAACTGGCTTGTATTTTGAGGTCTGCACGTAGACACAGATACTGGAAAAAGAGAAGATAAAAAAAGAGCCTCGTGGCTGCCTCGGAGTCTGGGGAATAAGCTGTATAGTGTGAAATTCAATGAGGAGGTGAATGGTTGTGGTACCGAAGAGGTAACCTTTCCACTGGAGGCAGTGTGGAGTGGTCCTTCAAAATGTGTCACCTTTATGGGGACAGCCATTGCTTAAATTGCTCCTCTTCCACAAGGCTACCAGAAACCCACCCACAGCAGTGCCAAAACTGCTGCCTACCCCAGGAGACCATCTTCTCTCCTTGTATGCTTTCATTTCCAGTCTGTATCTGCTTTGTTCCTCATATTTGTAGTGCAAGGTGTTTGGGGAAAAGAACATGTTTTCAGACAGCGCTTGGTACCCACTGTTCCCTTGCCTTGCTCCCAGATTTGTATCTCATCTTTCCAAAAGGCTGTGTTGGCCTCATTGGATGTGGATCATCTGCCCTGACCTGTTTCCCTCCTGGGGAAGCTGAGTACCTCCTTATTTTCCTGTGAGTCTTAATTTGGCCATTTCCAAATTGATTCATCCTTTTTCCTGCCCATATTTTTAATTTCTCAAGGTCTGCTTTTGGTAATTATTTGTGCTAGAGAGAGACTCCTTCTACTTTAGTGGTATCCGTGAGCGTAATTTAACCTCTCTTCTAGCACATCAGTGGCATTAAATAGGACTAGTGCTAGTGCCAAACCACTTGGCATCCTATTAGCCCTGTTATTCCCAGCTCAATTTGGTGTCATTTAATATTAACTCATGTTTAAAATCTCTCACCTATTTTTCTGTCCGTGTGACTGAATTTCTCCCAGAGCCAACTTTGATTATTTTTAAGAGACTTTAGGTG